TAGACAGCGACGAGGCCATGACAGGCAATTCAGGCTCATACCAGCAAGAAGCCAGTATAGGAGCTGCTCATTCCTGCCCAAGACAATCAGGGACTGGAACCATCTTTCAAAAGGAACAGTTGAGGCGACAACACTAGACACATTTGTGTCTATTGCCTCAAGCCTTCAAACCCCTAGTGCATAATTTCCTCATCACCACCAGTAACAGAAACATTGCAAATCCCATCTACATGCATAGGAGCCAAAATGATCAATAAATTGATCGTGGGCCCTTAAGATATAGAAGAAGAAGAAGAAGAACAGTATTGAATGCTTGGGTTACGAAATAAGGATATGGGTGGAACAAAGTATGGGAAAACATGACACAATGAACGCAACAAAACAACGAACGTGTCGGCAGGAAGCCCTCATCAGCGAACAAACCACAGTAGAAACAGAGTTCAATAAAATAGCTTTTAGCTGAAAAGTAGTATACGTGAGGTTACGAAATGTCTGTTCTCTGAATGTCGGAAGTCCAGCGAAATATTGACCAAAAAAAGCAATAAATATAATTTTAAAAATGTAAAATTAAATAAATAAATAAATAAAAAGGTTAAAATCGATACTGTTAGAGAATAATCGATTACATTAAAGATAAATAACCGTGTTTCAACCCATCAGCGTGTCCGGCCTGCCGTCTGCTTTAAGTGGTCAGACGACAGCTAAACAAAGCTTTGTGTGTATCTGTTCGCTTAGTGTGTTAAAAGTTATCTTCAGTTGATCGAACAATTTTCTGGCCAGGCCATAAAACGGGGACAGACATTGACGAGGCGTTTGTAGTGGAAAGAAAATAATTCCTACATCCACAGATAACCGATTCGGGCAGTGAATGCCAACATTTGAGTGAATCGAAACGTCAGACGGTGCTGCATTTTCACATTTCGAGGATTTATGTGTTGTTGTTGTTTTCTTCAGGGTGGGGGTGGGGGGACGTGGAGTTAAACCTTTCGAAAGATGCAACTCTCGTAGAACTCGAATGTTAAAACTACCGAAATAAGTGAACATAATTATATATCTAAGAATGCACGAGAGTGACGTAACGGCACAGAAGTGATACGTTTTAAGTACGTTGCGATTCCTGAAAACAATCATAGTTATTTTGTAATAGTTTACGGAAATCGAATAAATTTAAATGCGCAAAAAATATTTTAAAGCCACTTTTTTTTTTTAGTAAAAATTTAAATATTATTATTATAAATGAGAAATACATTTAAAGTATCAACTAAGGAACTATTTTAAGTATTTTATATGTGTTTGAAAGTTAGGAAAAAATAAATAAAATCATGATCAAAGAATTACACCGTAATCACAGTTTTGGAAAATACAAGCATCAGTCGTTTTTAGTGCGTCTTTTAGTGCGTTCTTAATGTTCCGAAATATATTAAAATTTAATTTGTTCTAAATAATCACGCTAATGACGTCATAGCGCGACTAGCTTACTTCACCAAAACTCTTAGGTTTCTTTAAATTTAAAACCGTGCATGACAAAACTGGTAAAAGGTATTTTCACTTCTTAACAGTACACTTAATAAATACAAGTGATTGCTTTTTACATTGTTAATAAACCACACACACATTTTTGCTTTGTATACTTTTACATTGAAAAAGTTTTGCCCTTTTTTTATTCCAAAAAATATACTTTCCTTCAATTTTTAAAGTAATAAAAACGAACCTTTAAATATAATTCTGATAAGAAAATGCGGTTTAAGTCAATCAGTGCAGCACAACTCCATAGCTAAATAGCATTCACTAATCAACTTATACCACATACAAATAAGAACGAACCATATGACGTTCAAAACATGTTAGTTTGGGTATGATAGGGACTTCAATTCAGTTGAAGATTTTCTAAATTTATTTAAATCTGGGTGGGGGGGGGAGGGTTGTTCCTTTGCCCCAGGCAGCACAAGATACGTCTCAAAATAAAGGAATGAATTTGATATATAAGTAATCTTCTTGGGTACACTCATATCGGGAGGTAGGAAATAGGATGTGTGCATGTTTACGTGGATGACAATATAGTTCAATCCTATGTTATTACATTTGTTAAAAAAAAAGAGATGCTACATTCTCTTTTTACAAATATGGGTATGTTGAATTTGTCCAAGGAAGCACAAAATACGCTCAAAATAAAGGAATGATTTTGATAAATAAGTAACCTTCTTGGGTAAATACATATCGGAGGTAGGAAATAGGATGTATACATTTTTACTTGGATGACAATATATTTAAATCATATGGTATTGCATTTGTGAAAAAAAAGAGATTAAATTCTCTTTTTACAAATTAACATATGTTTGTTTATCAATTAAGAAAATCAATGACGTTATCAAATCGTGGGTACATTTATATAAGTATATTCATGAATATCAAACCCCAATCATTTTACACACGTGAAAATTAAATTTTGACAAATGAAAATTGTTTAATATTATTTTTTAAATAAAAATTAAAATAATATATTGGTTGTTACTTTGCAAAAAGTAAAATGTGTGTATTTTTATGAGATGAGCAATTTAATTTTTTTTTTTTAAAAGACAGTCAAATCTGATATAGGCGTGAAAAGCAGTTGCGAGATTCTTCTTAGATAAAAAAGAATTCTTTGTTTTACGATTTTCTGATAATGTATAATTTTTAAAAAAAATGCCAACATGTGTTTCAATTTTTGATGACGATATCAATATTAATCGAATTCCTGTAATACAAAACATATTTATATCATATCTAGAGTTTTTATTGTAAATTTAAGATCCGTTGTTTTGTTTTTTTTTATTTTGAGGGGAAAAGTTGTAACTCAAGGGTACGAAAAGAGGTAGATCTAAAATATTTCTCTTGCGTAGTAATTGCACCTCAATTAACTACTTTAGTGACAAAAGCTATATAATTAGTTATAATTTAGACTGGGTAATTTAAGGTCATGTTTGGAGGGGGAAAATTAGTTTAGAAGCATGAAAGGTTGTAGGGTACGCGTATCATACATAGCAGATAAACACGTCTCAAAACTTAATGATGCTAGAAACGTGAATATCAATACATTTTAAAAGTTATGAATTGGAATGTGTTTTTTGCAATACCAGTTAGAAATTATCGCAAAGGACCTACCATTATTATTATCCCGATAACATCGGGTCATTTATTCTAGTTAATAAATAATAAAGTTATGACGTCATACGGGGGGTACTGGGGAACGTCAACTTTCCGAAAGCCGACTATGCACAACGTTGGTTATCCGAATTGAATCTTTCTTAAAATTTTTTTTATGTGCATTGCATGGAGGATTGACTTAAAATAAATATCAGGAAGCAAATTTGACTCTAACGCACAAAAACGGGTAAAATCTATATATTTATAAATAATAAATGCAGTGTACGGACTGTGATAATATGATCTGCAAGATTGTAATCAATCGATAACGCAGAATTAATGTCCGCAAAGACCAGGTCACCTCCGCTTTGATTCTAAACACCAGTCATAGAAACAAAAGTGTAGCCTTTACCAGTTTCTAGCACCAACCAGCTGACCCCACTGTCCAGTTTATGGTAACTGTACAGGGTACTTTTTTTCGGTTTTCCAAAAAACACCACTGGTCCCAGGTAGTTCGGATAATCGACACTCTGCTGTATAATTAATGTATAAAAAAAAAAATTAGACATGAAATTGTTGTTTTTTTTTTAATGCCTCACTTTATGTTCGCAGTGTACGTCCAGAGATTTATTTCTATAGAGGTTTTTAACTATTGATGACCTTTAAAACTATTTAAATGTAATATAAAATTTAAACCATTTCCAAAGATACTTATCGTTGTAAAGGGGGGGGGTAGCGGGGCATTTAATAGAAATATTTATATTAAATAATTTATATTTAAAACTATTTAAATGTAATATAAAATTTAAACCATTTCCAAAGATACTTATCGTTGTAAAGGGGGGGGGAGCGGGGCATTTAATAGAAATATTTATATTAAATAATTTATATTTAATGTAAGGTCGATGAAAAGCATGGTTAAGTTTCAATGTGTACAACACTATCTCCGAGCTCGATTAGGTTGAAGATTTTTTATTTGATAATAACTATAGGTTTTAAGTTACAAATAAATAAATGCTGCTTTTATCATTTTACCCACATACAACTAATGAAATTATATGAAAACTTATTCCTACATGTTTATACAATTCAAGATATTTATAAAATTCAGCGGGGTAGATCCAAAAAAAAAAAAAAAAAAAAAAAAAAAAAAAAAAAGAAAAACTAAAAAAAAAAATAAAGGGGGAAAAAACAAAAAAAAAAAAAAAAAAAAAAAAAATCGTTGGTCACTTTTAAAAAGAAACCGATTCCTAAAATCATGTAATGTCACCAACGTGACCATTCGAATCGAGAAAAATACTTTAAAAGAAATAATTTAAAAAAATAAGGGAAGCAATTTCTGCCATTTTACGAATATGCGCTTGAAGAGCATGAAAACACAACTCAGTACATTGGAATTAAAAAAAAGTATTCGTCTCTTTGGCTTTAGATAAAATGGTTGTCTATTATGAAGAGCGTGGATAATAGGAGCGTCTTACTGTCTGACCATACACTTATCTTTAAATTCAAATAATTTATGGATAATAAAATTAAGCTTAAGAATAAAATATGGGAAAATGGAAAAGTTAATTCATGTAATACCAGAATGCTATCATGTAAAACCTTATGATAACATAAAGATTCTAACGCAACATCCAAATCATTATAACCCAGGTAATACCGGGTCATGCCTTCTAGTTTTAATATAAGATCATCCATATAATGTAAAAGAAATAATATGATTTTATTATTTTTATCTACAGTATTAGTTCAGCTGACATTTAAAAATTTACAGAAGACGAAATAATCGCGGCCCCCCCCCCCTTCCAAATCAAATGAGCGCTGTAAGGGATTTTAATAAACACGAGGGGTACGAACCCTGGACTGTTACCATTATTTGCATACTCCTAGCCACAACCGCTGGTCTCGGTGCTGTAGGCAACGTCATCACCATGAAAACGTTCATCCATCTCGGCATATCAGACGGCGTGAATCTGTCCCTGATATCGCTGGCAGCGTCAGATCTCTTCTTCCTCATCTCCGCTTTCATCAACGGCATCAGCCTGATGCTCCACTGCGTTGAGGAACTGTCCGGGTTCAATCTTTGGTTCCCCGTTGACCCGGAAGTGGTCTACATGATTTTTACAGTAACCGGAAGTGGCTTCTACGCCTGTTCGATGCTCGTGACGACATTCATCACCGTAGTTCGATGTCTGGCCGTGGCGCTTCCTTTAAAGTTCAGAAATTTGCTGTCATGGCAAGCCACGGCCGTGGTCATTTCCCTGTTCACAGTTCTGATGCTCTCAACGACCGTTGTATTGTTGGTGTACACGGGCGTTTCCCACCAGTTCGACCCTAACATCAACACAACGAGACCTGCCCCGTGGCTCCCACCAGAAAGGACGATGATCAAGAACGTGATTTTTGGGGCAAGGGACGTGTTCTTACCACTGGCTTCTCAAATGATTGTTGGAATATGCGTGGTGATTATGGCCAGGTACCTGCAGAAGGCTCGTATATTTCGCCTGAAGGTGTCAAAGCTTGCATGTCTGAACGACAACGCGCCCAAAAACAATAATGTGATCCGAGATTCACAAATTAATCTAAAAACTGTAACGAAAGAGACGGGATCGTCAAAAGCTGTTTGCAAAGAACTTCAGGCTGTTCAACAGATGCTGCTCATAGCCACAGTCTACAGCTTGTGTAACATGCCAAAGGTCATCTTTAACTTGACAGAACTTATTGTACCTGGATTCTACAGGGACCTTAGTTACAATGACGTATATTTAACGTGCAATATTACAAGAGAACTAATTCAGTCGGTGAATGCCAGTGTAACCATTTTCATTTACTGGAAATACAATTCAAAGTTCAGGAGTCACTTTGTTCTTCACCACTGAGTTTGGTCTACGGAGTCACTTTATTCTTCAACAGTGAGTTAATACATGGAGTCTCTTCATTCTTACTCTCTGAGCAGGAATTTTGAGTCACTTCTTTCCAAAACTAAAATATTTGTAAACTTTGGTTTGACACATTGGAGTAACCAATTTTGTTATCGTAAACCAGTTCATTTACTGCCTGGTAAAACTGAAATATGGGATGGTACTTAAGCTTAGCATTTCCATACAGGGGCGAACAAAAAGAGTGCGATGCATTACTGTACTTCGGGATCTCTTATTAATTTGTAATACTAGCTTAAAAAATAGAGGGGTGTGGGTGGGTGGAGGATGGGGTCACAAAAGAAAACCCCGGCAGCATTTGTAAAGACAAACGAAATTGTTTGGAGAATTGTATGACGGTTTCAATAGCTTAATGCGAACAGATGTTAGATGCTGAAGAATTGTTAGATGCTGAGGAATTGTAAGATGCTGAAGAATTGTAAGATGCTGAAGAATTGTTAGATGCTGAAGAATTGTTAAATGCTGAAGAATTGGTTTCTGGATAAAAAAAAATGAAATGAAATATGCTTTTCACCACTTTCTGAAAGCAAATACATTTCAGGGGGAAGGGGTGGTACATTCTTCCCGTGGATCACATTAGCTTTAGACACAGTGATGTGGCGGGCTTGAACATTAGAATTTATTTTTACATTTAAAAAAAAAAAGTTTTTATTTACCAACTCCTGGTGGTATAGTTAAAATGTTGTGATTACATTTACGTAAGGAATCTATAACATAATTATAAGAGATGTCATATGCTGCTGAGTGGAAAGCACTATTTGGTGTCAGTGTAGGGATACATAATATAATTATAGAGAGTGGGGAACTACTTAAGTAGCCATATTGTAATGGATGGAAAAGCTTGAACGAAGATCTTGCGTCAGGAGTAGAAAAGAAGAATAGAATGTATGAGTGACTTCAAATTGTTAATTTATAAAGAGAAATGATGGATTTATTATGAACTGTTTTGAATCATCATTCCATTATTTATCTTTAGTGAATATTTCCGTGTAGTATTATATTATATAAATACATAATTGCTATATGAAGACTTGGACTTCGTGTTATTACATTTGTGAGAAATTATTAGTTAACTTACTATCTGATATCCACTAAGACATCCATTCAGGTCATCATAATTCTAGTAATAGCAGTTCCGGCAATAGCAATTAGCGAACACTAAAGTTTTTTTTCCTTGTCTCTATTTCTTGTCCTATTTTTATCCTGCCCTGTCTGCTGATGAAGGCTCTTAGAAACAAAAACAATTTTTTTTTTTTAAAACCTAGTTCAACATACATGCTTTTTGTGTTCCTCTGTAAATTAATATTTTCCTTTCGAGCCAACCAGGCTCCAGTTTCTTCATTCCTCTTTGGAACTGCTATATTTTGTCTGTTAATTTAAAAATCCCTAAAAGCAAAGTTTTTCTTATCGATCCTTTAGATGCATTTTTGTGCGACTTAGCGATAACTATACTTATGAAAGCATAGCATCATACTTACTTCACATTTCCTTTGAAAAACGTTAAAAACTTATTTACGGGGGGTTGAATGTGAAGGGTGGGGCTGAAAAATCAGAAAGAATGTGGTGTGATTGGCAACGAGTCTATGTGCCAAGTTTCAGCTTGATAAGTTGACGGGGAGTTTGTCACTTAACCTTTCCATGGCGTTTGGCCACACTCCCCGAAAGAAACACACGAAGAAAAGCGAAGTTAATAATAAAGGATTTAAAAATTACAGTTACAAATAAATGAATCTATGCATAAAAATAAATACTACATATGAAATGTCCAGTAAACATCCATGCTAAGAAATTGGTCCAATATTTTATGTCACTTTTGTTAGTAAAATACGTTGTACAGAAACGAATAAAAAAATATAATAAAAAGGGACAAATCTTATTAGATGCTGAAATCGTGGGATTGAAATGGGAGATAAAAATTATGTAGAACTGCCTAAAAATAACAATTTTATTTTTCGGCACACAAAAGATGATTATTATTTTTTTTTAAATCAATAAAATGAAGCAGCGTAGCGAAAAGTAATATAGCAGGTCTTTCGACAAATACATGTTTATATGTATATATTTGATTTTGAGTTTTTCATCGTGGTGAAATGCCTGATGATAAAACGAAATGACCAAAGACAAGGTCAGTCAATGGTGTGTCAATAAACAAGTAAAAAACGATAAAAATTCCCTTTCTTCCACCTCGTTGGGGCGCTATTTGTGGTAAAGATATCCTGGAAGCAAACACTGTCCACGCTATCGAATACAGTGACCACAGAGACGAGTGAGTTCACTCTCTCTTGGGTAAGAGGAGATCATCGAATTCAGTGACCACAGATACGAATGAGTTCAGTCTCTCTTGTGTAAGAGGAGATCATTGAATTCAGTGACCACAGATACGAATGAGTTCAGTCTCTCTTGTGTAAGAGGAGATCATTAAATTCAGTGACCACAGAGACGAGTGAGTTCAGTCTCTCTTCTGTAAGAGAAGATCATCGAATTCAGTGATCACAGAGACGAGTGAGTTCAGTCTCTGTTGTGTAAGAGGAGATCATTGAATTCAGTGATCACAGAGACCAGTGAGTTCAGTCTCTCTTGTGTAAGAGGAGATCATTGAATTCAGTGATCACAGGGACGAGTGGGTTCAGTCTCTCTTGTGTAAGAGGAGGTAATTGAATTCAGTGATCACAGAGACCAGTGAGTTCAGTCTCTGTTGTGTAAGAGGAGATCATTGAAGTCAGTGATCACAGAGACGAGTGAGTTCAGTCTCTCTTGTGTAAGAGGAGGTCATTGAATTCAGTGATCACAGAGACCAGTGAGTTCAGTCTCTGTTGTGTAAGAGGAGATCATTGAATTCAGTGATCACAGAGACCAGTGAGTTCAGTCTCTGTTGTGTAAGAGGAGATCATTGAATTCAGTGATCACAGAGACCAGTGAGTTCAGTCTCTCTTGTGTAAGAGGAGATCATTGAAGTCAGTGATCATAGGGACGAGTGGGTTCAGTCTCTGTTGTGTAAGAGGAGATCATTGAATTCAGTGATCACAGAGACGAGTGAGTTCAGTCTCTCTTGTGTTAGAGAAGATCGATGTCAATATTACAATAGGTTTAACTAAATGTCTGCAGGGATGTTCGTTCAACTTAAGCATTCACAATCAGTAGACTTGATCATTATACGTGATGAGTTAACCCGATCAGTAGACGTGATCAGTAGACGTGAGCAATAGACGTGAATAGTAGACGTGGTCAGTAGACGCGATCAATGGACGTGACCAGTAGACGTGATCAGTAAACACCTATACATTTTGAAGACCGTCACATGATTATTATTATTATTATTTAGGCATTTTTATATAGCGCTTACCTTACAGCTCCTTACAATTATCAAAAATATGTAAACTATTTAAACTGCTAAAGCAAAATAAAAATGAAAAACCAGTGACACTAGAATAGTAACTACAATGTGAAAAATGACTATAAAAACAGTAGCTAAAACATTAAAATGGCTATAAAAACAAGTACACTTGGCCCGTTTTGGCATATACTTAAATATAGGATCAACCCGAGACAGAAAATGAGGCAGGGCAAGGAGAGTGCATCACAGGTCATAAGCGGACCTAAACAGACGGGTTTTAAGGGACTTTTTGAAAGTAGACGAGGTTTCACAATGACGGATGTGGAAGGGGAGCTGGTTCCGGAACGTGGACCCATGAAATTAGAAGGACCGTTCACCGATGGTCTTAGTTTTGGTTCTTGGGATTGAGAGGATTCTATTGTCAGTTGAAGAGCGTAGTTGTCTTGTGGGGATGTACGGAAGCAACAGTTCAGAGAGATAGACAGGAAAGTGAGGGTCAGTGAACGAGTTGAAGAAAAGATTGGCAGACTTATACTTGATGCGAGAGGATATTGGAAGCCAGTGGAGTTGCCGCATGTGTGGTTGAATGTGGTCATGTTTCTTTGATTTAAAAATGAGTCTGCAGGCTGAGTTCTGTGCCTTCTGAAGTTCGTCTATGTGATGTTGAGGAATGCCTGCGAGAAGAGTGTTGCTGTAGTCAAATTTTGAAAGAATGAGTGAAGAGACGATATTTTTTGTGGCATCAAAGAAGAGGAGGTGTCTAATGGTCCTGATTTTTCTAATTTCATTGTATGCTGATCTGCAGATGTTCGTGACATTTTTGTCCATGGAGAGGGTGTCTGTAAGCGTGACTCCAAGGTTTCTGGCAGAGGAAGAGAGTGATGTCAGAGTTGCCGATAGATATAGAAGAAGGAGCGGATGGAGGGAGAGGTTTAAAGAGCTTTGTGTAAAATGAGTTCGTAAGAAATGGTTTGCTGAAACTGAGTAATGAAACACGTTCAACTTTATGATTTGCAATGCTCAACTGATCCATGAAACTCTTTCAACTGTGATGTGAAATAAATTGACATGCAACATTGCTCTGCAAATTCTAACTCAATGAATACAGAATGATTCTCTACCAAATCTTTATTTAGCTTCTTAAATTTCGGCGTATGTAAAGATTTTTTAATATGTCACCTCTTCGAGTTATTTGAGACAGATATCAAAACCATAGTTATTGAAGAAGTACCAAACAGTGGTTGACATTGCATCATTTGTGTGACTGGTTCAAGGTATGGATGTGAGAAAACATTCTGCTGATGCATGTTTTGGCGCCCTAACAAAGAAAACTTAATGGACATTCAAGTGCAATTTGCTTCAAGGATCATTTTAAGTGTCATGTGGTCAATGTCCTGTTTCAAGAAAAATTTTAAGTGGCAAAAGGTTTTTTAAGGTGTCATGTACCATTTTAGAGGTGTTATGTATCATTTAGAGGTGTCACGAACCATTTAGAGGTGTCACGTACCATTTAGAGGTGTTACGTACCATTTAGATGTATCCCATACCATTTAGAGGTGTCACATACCATTTAAAGGTGTCACGTACCATTTAGATGTGTCACGTACCATTTAGAGGTGTTATGTACCACTTTAGAGGTGTCACGTACCATCTAGAGGTGTCACGTAGCATTGAGAGGGGTCATGTTGCATTGAGAGGTGCCACGTCTCATTTAGAGGTGTTATGTACCACTTTAGAGGTGTCACGTACCATTTAGAGGTGTCACTCACCATTTAGAGGTGTCACATACCATTTAGAGGTTTTACATACCATTTAGAGGTGTTACATACCATTTAGCGGTGTCACGTACCATTTAAAGGTGTCACGTACCATTTAGAAGTGTAACGTACCATTTAAAGGTGTCACGTACCATTTAGAGGTGTCACGTGCCATTTATAGGTGTTATGTACCACTTTAGAGGTGTCACGTACCATCTAGAGGTGTCACGTATCATTTGGAGGTGTTATGTACCACTGTAGAGGTGTAACGTACCATTTAGAAGTGTCACTCACCATTTAGAGGTGTCACATACCATTTAGAGGTGTCACGTACCATTTAAAGGTGTCACGTACCATTTAGAGGTGTCACGTACCATTTATAGGTGTTATGTACCACTTTAGAGGTGTCACGTACCATCTAGAAGTGTCACGTACCATTGAGAGGTGTCACGTTGCATTGAAAGGTGCCACGTATCATTTAGATGTGTTATGTACCACTTTAGAGGTGTCACGTACCATCTAGAAGTGTCACGTACCATTGAGAGGTGTCACGTTGCATTGAAAGGTGCCACGTATCATTTAGATGTGTTATGTACCACTTTAGAGGTGTCACATACCATTTAGAGGTGTCACGTAACATTGAGAGGTGTCAGGTACCATTGAGAGGTGTCACGTACCATTTAGATGTGTCACGTACTATTTAGAGGAGTCACATACCATTTAGAGGTCTCATGTACTTTTTTTAGATGGCACTCGTCATTTAAAGACACCACTGGTCATTTTTATGTTTTTCACGTCTCGGATGCCACCACTCAAGTACTCTGTTAAGGTACTTCCCTGCCATTTAATCTCCCAAACACATGCTACTATTCTGTTGATTACGCAGACCATAAATCTTTACGCACTCTTCTTAAATTCTAAATGCAAAATAAAAACGTGATCACATCACAACTACTTCATACAATTCTTTGGCTCCATGTACAAGCGCGGATAGACTACAAACTCTCTGTTCTCTGCCACAACTTTTCCTCGAATTCCTCCCCTTCCTATCTAACCAAATAACTTTCTTTTTACTCACCCCTTCGTCAGCTTCGCTCCTCCGCAGACGCGCGTATTATTTTAGTCCTCAACACTCGCACAAAAACATACGGTGGACGATCGTTCTCTTTCTGCACCCGCAAATAATGAAATTCTCTCCCATTACACATCCGCAATATACCGAACATCACAACCTTCAAACTGCACTCAAAACATATCTCATTAAACTCTATTATCCTGACTGATCCCCAGCCCCCCCCCCCCCCCCCCCCCCCCCACCCC